ATGAGGAAGGAATGTTAACCTTGGAGCTCGAAATCGCAACGTGCGGCGTCTTCGAAACGGAGGAACATCCCCTCCCCGGACCAGCATCGCAACACCTTCAGGGCATGCTACGTGGCACCGGTGTCGGCACCTTCGATGCGCACTGCGTGCCGCGACCTTACACAAAGGAGAAGTTCATGGAGATCTACTCTCACCGGCGCGACTCTACGATGAAGCCTACCGTGGCGCAAGAAGAGGAACTGGCGCGACGCGAGGCGGAAGAGCTTCGCCAGCGGAGTCTTGCGGAGTCGCGCGGCACGTTTGCCTGGAGCGGATGGGAAGAAGAGGAGAGCGCTTCCAATGAAGGGGGGTGGGGAAGCGCTGGCGGATGGGGAGCCGCAATTGGTGGCAACACTAGCGGATGGGGCGCCGCATCTGGCGGCGAGACAAGTGGTTGGGGCACTTCCGGCGAAGGTTGGGGAGCTTGCCGCGAGGACCAAAGGGGGGAAGAAGAAAACGAGGCAGAACCTCCTGTTGTTCCTCTTGGTCGCCCTCCTCGGCGCCCTGCACCTGCACTACCCCCACCTGACATCCAGCCGCTCCGCAACCCTGGTGACACCATCGACTGGGGCAATGAGCCCTCTACCCCGCGGCGTATCGTTTACGGGCCTGACCCCGAGCCGAGCGAACCAACCTTTGTCCATGGAACCATTACTGGGACCAACATTCCCTTCTCCGTGATTATTGACAGGGAATTTCTGGCTCTGATGCTGACCACGGCGAACGGCGACGAAGAAGAAGCGATAGCAGAACCTGCCCCAGCACAAGAAGAAGACACCGATCCTGTGCGCGCACGCTACGTACGCACCTCAGGACTCCGCGCCAACGATGACCTTTGGCACCAGCGCCTCGTTCACCCCTCGCGTGTAACGCTGATGAAGCAATCGAAGCTTCCGCCAACGTACTGGACCTACGCAATGCACCACGCCGTGCGGATGCACAACCTGTTATCAACCACTGCCATCACCGGCAATCTGTCCCCGCATCTGAAGTGGACGGGAACGAAGGGCGACACATCCATGCTCCGTGTGTGGGGGTGCATGGTGCAGGACCGCCCGCCAACGTCAACCATCGGGAAATTCGCAAGCCGCGCGCGCTGGGGCATTCACCTCGACATCAGCCACGAACACAAGGCGTGGCTCATCCTGGACCTCATGAGCCAGAAGACCACGAACGCACGCGATGTCATCTTCTACTGTCAGAATCCCAACCACTAGACCATTGGGATAAAAGGGCTTGTTAAGTAGCGGGTCAGTGCGCCCATAACCCCCCAGGACAGCGAGCCTGTAACCCTTCCCTAGGATTAATCAGGGATCACCAGTGGACCTCTGACACCCCCTCGCACTGGAATGCCCGAAGTGCACACGCTGGGATTCGAACCCGAGACCTTCGCTCTGATACCATGTCAGAATCCCAACCACTAGACCATTGGGATAAAAGGGCTTGTTAAGTAGTGGGTCAGTGCGCCCATAACCCCCCAGGACAGCGAGTCTGTAACCCTTCCCTAGGATCAATCAGGGATCACCAGTGGACCTCTGACATCTACGAGCGGCTCTTCCTCAAGCAATTCCGCGAAGACAAGCGGACGAACACGAATCGCGTTTACGCCAACGACAGACACAGTTACGCCACACCTGAGGACGAAGCTGCAGCAGCCATTCTGGAGCAGGACACCATAGGCGAGTTCACATGAGGTGATCGCCACGGCAGCGACGACGATGATGACGACCCTAGAGGAGGAGCGGGCGCAGCGGGAGGAAGCGGCCGAGGCGCAGCACCGCCAGCACCACTTGAACCAGAGAGCGACGACGATGACGTGCAGGAGGTCATCCCGCAGCACCGCCACGACAGCACTGTCTCTGGACTTCAGCTTCTCGGGCTCCATACCGCCACCTCAACGGCTTCATGTGTCATCGAGCCGAAAAACCCGCGCCAAGCACTCACGGGACCACACAGCAAGGAATGGCGCGAGGCGATGGATGCGGAAATCAAGGCACTTGAGTCCCGCGACACTTGGGTGCTTGTTGATCAAGCGGCAATCAAGGGGAGAAGGATTCTCTCCTGGAAATAGGCCTTCCGCGTGAAGACCGCAGCGGACGGCACGATTGAGCGATTTAAGGCTCGCTGGGTCATGCGGGGCTACGACCAGAGGCATGGCATCGACTTCGACCAGACGTTTGCGCCGGTCAGCCGTCACACCTCCGTCAGAATCCTGCTCGCCATCGCCGCCGCAAGGCACTTACCACTTCGCCAGATCGACGTGAAAAACGCATGTACGGCGAAGGAGATTCGCGTGTGTGCCAGCTGCAAAATTCCCTTTACGGGATCATACAGGTGCCAAGGCTCTGGCAGTAGTACCTACACAACATCCTACTTGAGATAGGCTTCAAGCAGCTGCCTCACGATCCCGGCATGTACCGCCGCGACTTCCGCGGCGAATACATCCTGCTCACGGTCTACGTCGACGACCTCCTCTACACAGGGTCAAGCAACGAGCTGCTTGAGCAGTTCGAGAAGAATCTCGCGGGGCGCGTCCACATCACCTACAACCATGACGTGAAGCAGTTCCTAGGGCTGAACATCTCCTACTCACCAGAAGCCATTCACCTCTCAGCAGCCAAGTATGCAGAAGAACTTGGCAAGCGCTTCAACATTGCGCCTGCACCACTCTCCACACCTTACCGTACCCTGGGACCGAACCACAAACCTGACAACAAAACCATGTCCCCCGTTGGACTCCAGACTTACCAGCAGCAGCTAGGATGCCTGCTCTTCGCCTCTGTTACCTGCAGGCCCGATCTCTCGTACATCGCGAGCCAACTGGCTCAGTACTCTCGTAAACCAACGGCTGAGAACCTTCTGGATCTTCAGCGGGCCCTGCAATTCTTCATCTCCACGCCCAATGTCAGGCTATGCTACTCCACAGTCCCAACCGCATCTTTCAACCTCATCGGCTACGTGGACACCGATCACGCCGATGACCCCGACAATCGACGGTCCAGGACCAGCTTCCTATTTCGCCTCGAGCCCAGCGGTCCCATCTCCTGGAATTCGCAGAAATAGGAGTTGGTTGCCCAGTCATTGGCAGAAGCCGAATTCATCGCAGCAACAGCAGCTGTTCGCGAAGGGCTCTACCTACAGGAGCTCCTACAGGAGGCGAAAATACCATCTTCGCCCACCTTTTGCCTACACTGCGACAACCAGAGCGCGATCAGGATCGCGATCAAACATGGATTCATCAACCGCACCAAACACATGGCGCTGCGGTACTTCTTCGTTAAGGACAAAGTTGTCGAAGGCAAGGTTGACCTAACCTATTGCCCGACGGGTGACATGGCAGCCGACTTCCTCACGAAGCGACTGTCACGTCAGCAGTACCAGCACTGCTATGAACCAAGCGGAGTAGTCAAGCGGGTCAAGACCTGCTACGGCCAGGAGTGAAGGGGGGTGTTACGAATAGTAACAGATGAAGTGTTACTGTGCACTCTTGACAGTAGCAAGCGAAGCAAGCAGTATCGAGTCTGAAGACGAAAAGGCGGAAGTGACGCGAAGGGCCGTACGGTTACGAAGCATCTGGACCGTCAGGGTAGACAGCATCAGGCAGCAGTAGTGGCGAGGATTCAGCTCAGGCAGTTCGTAACCGTCTAGAGTCGCACGGTTGGGATTCGCTGCAACAAGGGCGTGTACCCCTTAGAGTACATGGCTAGCTAGGTCGCTTCGTATTCCATCCTATACTCTTATTTATATCCCTATATTTGCATGTTTTAATCATCTCAATCATTTTACATCCAGTCTGAATTGAGGTCAAGGGCCCACCACCACCATTCAATTGTGTGCGAACCTTCCTGAGGCGATCCTAGGGTCAATCAACTTCTGATCGCAGCAATAACATCTTATGCTTTGTTTCAATTTTGCAGGGCTAGTTGTTCCATGGGTAGATTCACATATGAACATATTTATAGCAACAACCGTTTGTGTTACCGAGTTAAATATCAGCCCCGTTAACATATAGTACCTATGTCGAGTTATTTCCGAAACCATTCCCCTCCAAATGCATCATACCCACTAAGAGGCCACGTCAAGCAAGCTGTTCGCCCCACCGATGCGCGACACGTTCTGCGCGGGGCACCATCGTAACAGCTCAGAGGCCCGTGATGCACACGGCATGCGCGGGTTTCTAGAATCCAGGGAGCCCTCTGGCAATGAATCACTATGGCATTGAAGTGAAGTGCGCAGCATGCACGGGTTAACCGGCCTCCACCTTCTATCCTCCATCCCACCATTCGATAATCCAACCATCACCACGCGACTCCGCGTCACCATGACTTTTTTCTCTCTCCCGCACTCCGCCTCACATGCTAACAATCCATCCGTCGCCATCATCCGTCGAGCGCCATGGCCAAACCCGGCCGGGGCTGCTTCGCGACGCCGCCATCGCGGCATTGGCGTCGCGCCGATGTCCTTCCGACAGCCCAAGCTGGGGATCTCTCTCCTCCCTCCCCCCCCCCCCCCCTCCCACCCCGCCCTCCCCCCCCTCCTCCTCCTCTCTTCCCCCGCGCTCTCTTTCCCCTTTCCATGGGTCCACTCTCCCGCTCGCTTCTCGGGGCGGGAATCTTCGCCGGGGTTCTCCCGTCAGTGGACAATATGGAATCTCCGCAACCCTGGCTGGATCCCTCGCCCGACTGCGGTCAGTGAGAGGGAAAAACGATCACACGGACGGACAGACAGACGGGGGAACAGACTCACGCGCAGTCCGTCAGAGAAGCAAATCCGGGGCACCTATCATACATAACAGCCGTCGTCGTTGCCGTCATCTCCTGCTCTTGCTTTCTGCTCTTCGCCACAGCAGGCTCCGTTCTGCCTCATCGCGTTTTTTCTCCTACGGCACAGCTAGTGAAAGTCTAGTTGCCCTACGCACACGAGTCTAGTTGCCCTACGCACACGAGTCTAGTTTTCCATCCATGGAGCGCGGGAAAGGCGCTCGGGAGGAGCGCGGCCCGACTTCCGAAACCCGCCTCCCCACGGGCTTCCCCTGCCACGTAGAAATCGCGGAAGCGCCTCCCCCCGGCAGTGGCGCGCGCCCTCCGCCGCATCCCTCCGCGGAGGCGCCGCGCGCGGGCGCCGGCGGAGGCCTCCAGAGGCAGCCCACACCGCCTCTGGGCATGGGTCCGCGGGAGAGGCAGCCGTCCCCGCCCATCCCCGCGCCTCACCTGCAGCCCCCCGGGCTGGGGCAGCCCGTGCACCCCACTCCCCCCAAGGAGCGCCAGGCGCAGCCCCCGCCCCCTCAGCCCCAGCAACCCCAGGAGCCGCAGCCCCAGCAGCCCCAAATGCACCCTCAGGGGCAGCCCCAACAGTATCAGCCCCCCCAGCAGCCTCAGCAGCCTCAGCACCCCCAGCAGCCGCAGCTGCAGCCGCTGTCTGCACACCTTGCTGCATCGCGCACAGCCCATCCCATCCACCTCCCTCTCTCAGCAGAGGAGCAGCAGCGGCAGGGCGCGTGGGGCCGCGAGGCTGGGGAAGGCGGCACTTCTGCAGCTGCCGCTGGTGCGGCAGAGGGAGCGGTGACGGTGTCGATATCGAGGGCGGGCATGATGGTGAAGCCTGACAGTGTGTTCCGCCTGCGTGTGGGCGTGCGCCCCCTCTCAGGCGAGCTGGACCACGAGGCTCTCAGCCGTCTGCACTCCTCCAACCAGTGCTATGGGCTGGGTAAGTTTGAGAGGCGAGTGCTTGTGGCAGCATGGGTAAGGGGAGAGGCGAGTGCTGGTGGTGCTGATGCTTGTGGTGGTGGCGGTATGGGTGGGCATGATGGTGAAGCCTGACAGTGTGTTCCGCCTGCGCGTGGGCGTGCGTCCCCTCATAGGCGAGCTGGACCACGAGGCGCTTAGTCAACTCGATTCCTCCAACCAGTGCTACGGGCTCGGAGAGGCAAAGGGTGAATGTTATGGCCTTTTTATGACTGGTTGGTAGTATGGTAGAACGAGCGTGCGTGTGGGCGTGCGCCCCCTCTCATGCGAGCTGGACCACGAGGCTCTCAGCCGCCGCCACTCTACAACTGCTGCTACGGGCTCGGTGAGGCGAGAACCTGTGGGTAGAGCGAGTGATGTGGCATGGTGAGGATAGAAGAAAGTGCTGTGGCGTGGGTGAGGTGAGGCGAGAGGCGAGTGCTTGTTGGATACAGGTAGCACCACAACATGCTTGCTATAGAGCCACTGAGCTGACTGCGCTCCTCCAACCGCTGCTACGGGCTCGATGAGGCGATTGCTGTGTTGACATGGTGAGGCGAGAGGCGAGTGGTTGGTGGTGAATAGAGGTAGGACCATAAGCTGACCTGCTTGTTTCAGAGTCCTCCTCTCAATCCCATCTCGCCTATCCCTCCCATCCGATCCCATCCATCCCCGTCCCGCGCATCCCTCTGATCCATTCCCATCCCCTCATCCCTCCCACTCGTCTCATCCATCCCCGTCCCCAATTCCCATTCCTCCCACACCTCGTATGGCCAGCTGTGCTGCTGGCAGGGCTGGCAGTCATTGCCCTCTCCGTGGTGCCTCAAGTCTCTCTGCAGCCCCTGCTAGGTGCGTCACTCACTGCAGCCCCGTCCATTCCCTTTTCCCTCCAATGCGCCTTCTGTTTCCGACTCCATCACTGTATAATGTGGTGCTCCATCTTGTGTTCGTGTCACCCGCACGAGACAATGGACATAGGCATTCCCCCACTGCCGCTACTCCCCCCAGCGCACACCATGACTAGTATAGCACCACCCACTGCATGTGATTGGCCTGTTTTTGAGTCGACTCGAAAACACCATGACTAGTATGGCACCACCCACCCACTGCATGTGATTTTGATGTTCCAAGCACTGCACTCTCCTTAGAGAAACGATGCACACGAATGCAGAGGAGCACAGGTGCGTCTGTCAACTTCGAGTCCAATCGAGCCCCAGTTAGGAGCCATGGTTCAATACGTGGCAGCAAGTACGTAGTTAAAACACCTGAGTAGGTTAGTGTGTTGTGTAGAAAAAATCCTTGTGGATAATTGTGATGGTAACCGGTTTCAGTGTGAAACGATGCACACTAATGCAGAGGAGCACAGATGCGTCGGTCAACTTCCTCTCGTCTCTCTCCCACCCCCTACTCTTCCCTCTACCAGCCGGGCTGCTCATGGCCATGGGGCTGGTAACCGGGTTACACGCACTAGTGCTCTTCACAGCGCCAGGAGCCATCGCCCTTGTCCTTCTCGCAGCCGTGCATGCAGCCTTTGGCGCCTGGCTCCTCCAAGCCCCCTCAGACCATTTCCTCCTCATCCTCGCCCTCTGGCTCGCCGCCCAGGCGCTCTCCAAGCTGATTCTCGCCGCCCTTTTGAGCCTCATTTCGTCTTATGTGGCGCTGGTGGTGACGGCGGTGGTGGGGATTGGGCTGGCTGGGGTGGCGTATTTCGGCTTTGATGCCAGCACGCCAGTATGGGCGCAAGGGGTGCTGGTGGGGGGTTACCTCGTGCTGTACGGCATTTCCTTCTTGCTCATTGCATGCATGGCTTTTGCTGGTGAGCTGTAGGACACATGCTGGTGGGAGGTTAGCTGCTCGGGGGTTACCTCGTCCTGTACGGCGTTGCCTTCCTGGTGATCGCATGCATGGCGTTTGCTGGTCAGTTGGCAAGGCGTTTTTTGGTGGGCTCAAGGACATGGTATGTGCAGTGCTGGCAGACATAGTGGATTGCATGTGGTCCGTTGTTTTGAGACGTCTCAAGACACCCTTGGTATGTATGTTTTGAGACGTCTCAACACACCCTTGGTATGTGTGTTTTGAGACGTCTCAAAACACCCTTGGTATGTATGTTTTGAGACGTCTCAAAACACCCTTGGTATGTATGTTTTGAGACGTCTCAAAACACCCTTGGTATGTGTGTTTTGAGACGTCTCAAAACACCCTTGGTATGTATGTTTTGAGACGTCTCAAAACACCCTTGGTATGTATGTTTTGAGACGTCTCAAAACACCCTTGGTATGTATGTTTTGAGACGTCTCAAAACACCCTTGGTATGTATGTTTTGAGACGTCTCAAAACACCCTTGGTATGTGTGTTTTGAGACGTCTCAACACACCCTTGGTATGTATGTTTTGAGACGTCTCAAAACACCCTTGGTATGTATGTTTTGAGACGTCTCAAAACACCCTTGGTATGTATGTTTTGAGACGTCTCAAAACACCCTTGGTATGTATGTTTTGAGACGTCTCAAAACACCCTTGGTATGTATGTTTTGAGACGTCTCAAAACACCCTTGGTATGTATGTTTTGAGACGTCTCAAAACACCCTTGGTATGTATGTTTTGAGATGTCTCAAAACACCCTTGGTATGTACCTCCTGCTGTTCGGCGTTGCCTTCCTGCGCATCGCATGGCATTTGCAGGTGTGGTCTGATCTGAGCCAGCTGGTGATCGACCCATACCACCAAGAACTTAAAGCCTGAGGGTACACCCAGTGGTTATTGAGCTGACTCTTAAGACACCTCTTTCGGACGTGCCACTCCCCACCGCACTGCTCACCTCTCTCAGGTCGGCGCCTGCTGGAGGATGAGGAGGAGGAGCGTCAGCCACTGCACCTGGTGGTCGACCCCTTCCACTAAAGACTTAAAGCGCTAAGACACACACGCTGGGGCCATCAGGGCCCACTGTGCAAGGCGTTGGGGTTTGCCGTGGGGGCAGTCATGGGGATGTTGATATGGTAATACAGGCCCCTGCAGGAATGCTAGTTGAGAAACCTGGGAAGCAGTCAGAGTTCTCCCAGCTCACAGAGATGCCTGGAGAGGATGTCAGGGTTGCTGACTTGGCATGGTGGCTGGAGCTGCTTGTTCTTCTTTCCCTGCTAGCTTGATCCTCTGCTTGCTAGAATGTATGGTAGTTGCTTTCCATTTGGATCATTCTCTACCGGTAGCCTTTTTGTAGAAGCCTAATATAGCTCAGTTTGTCTCGTTTGAGAAACAAAGTTATCCCCATGATACACAGGTTCTTGACACTGCATTAACCGCAGGGCATGATTGCAGGTGCAGGATCTCACAACAACAATGGGTACTTATGCCTGCTGGCTGGATGGAACGCAGGCAGACTTTGAATGATGCCAACACTCTGATAGCTGCGATTGAAATCTATGTTGTGCAGCAGACGCTTAGACACAAACTTCTGGCAGCATAGCCTCCTGATTTCATAGATCAACTTCTTTGTACCTAAGGATACCGGTAAGCCTTCTCCAATTATTGTTTAGAGACACTCCCACTGAAGCATTACACAGTACAGCACACACGGGAGCATGGAAACATGGGAGCATGGAAACATGGGAGCATCCAGCAATCGATTCTCTCCACACCTAGCGCTACCATGGTCGGGAGGAACACTTATCTACCGGTAATTTCTTGGTCTACTGTCTTAATGGATCATTCAAAAGTCGGCCCTACAAACACAATGTGTTATTTACCAGCCAAGCGCTACCTGACCAGCAATTTCAGTGTACCGTATTTCAGGAGTGCACACATGCACACATGCACACATGCACACATGCACACATGCACACATGCACACATGCACACATGCACACATGCACACATGCACACATGCACACATGCACACATGCACACATGCACACATGCACACATGCACACATGCACACATGCACACATGCACACATGCACACATGCACACATGCACACATGCACACATGCACACATGCACACATGCACACATGCACACATGCACACATGCACACATGCACACATGCACACATGCACACATGCCACACATGCACACATGCACACATGCACACATGCACACATGCACACATGCACACATGCACACATGCACACATGCACACATGCACACATGCACACATGCACACATGCACACATGCACACATGCACACATGCACACATGCACACATGCACACATGCACACATGCACACATGCACACATGCACACATGCACACATGCACACATGCACACATGCACACATGCACACATGAACACATGCACACATGCACACATGCACACATGCACACATGCACACATGCAACATGCACACATGCACACATGCACACATGCACACATGCACACATGCACACATGCACACATGCACACATGCACACATGCACACATGCACACATGCACACATGCACACATGCACACATGCACACATGCACACATGCACACATGCACACATGCACACATGCACACATGCACACATGCACACATGCACACATGCACACATGCACACATGCACACATGCACACATGCACACATGCACACATGCACACATGCACACATGCACACATGCACACATGCACACATGCACACATGCACACATGCACACATGCACACATGCACACATGCACACATGCACACATGCACACATGCACACATGCACACATGCACACATGCACACATGCACACATGCACACATGCACACATGCACACATGCACACATGCACACATGCACACATGCACACATGCACACATGCACACATGCACACATGCACACATGCACACATGCACACATGCACCCTACATGGCATCAGGCAGCTCATGCATGCATGCATGTTTGTAGCGAAGGTGCCTAAAAACCGCGTTCACCCTACAAGGCATCAGGTAGCTCATGCATGCTTGAACTCTTCTTCATGACATTCCCACCCACCCCTCCTCCCCCTCCTGCTTCTCCACCAGCTCTGGCATCTAGACTCATCCGCACACTCCCTCCCACCATACCTCCTCCCCCTCGCAACGGCCCATGCAATGGGCTTGAAGAGATGGGAGTGGCAGCAACAGAGTTGGCAAGAGACGCCCCTCTAGACCAGCTCCTCCCCTCCAACTCCACAATATCCCCTCTCCCTCCTATCGACCCTCCCACGCCCCCCACCCCTGTACTCCTCCTCCCCCCTTTCACGCTGCCTCCCCACCCCACACCAGACGAAACCCCCCGCCCAGGGGTGCTCGCGGCACTGTAGCTGCCAGTTGGCCGCGCGACAGTGGTCGGCGACTCCGCAGCACGTGATGTGGCGGGGCCGGTGCTGCTGGGGGCGCCACGTAGGACCGGCACGCGGGCGGCGAGGGTGGAGTGGATCCGGCCGTACCGCGCCCGCGTGGCGTTTGCTGACTTGGCAACGATGACGTGGACGATGGGGTCAGGAAGGAGGGGTGAGAGAACCGACCGGATCCGGTCAAGAGATAGTCCCGAGAGGGAGGATGGATCAGGAAGAACAGAAAGTGTGTCCGGTTCGAGAGACCCTGAGGTGGTCTTAGCTGCAAACGCAGCAGCACCGCCGGTTGCATCTGCAGCAGCGGAAGAGTATTTAATGGCGAGTTGGAGGTGGTGGGTGGCACCGCACTTGATGACAAGCGGCCCCTCGGCACTATTCAGCTGCACTGCCGTCCACTCCCTCACCCCCTCCTGCTCCGCCCTCCTCCGCACCTCCTCCTGCCTTGCAGCCACACTGCCTGCTGCCACTGCCCCTCCCCCTCCTGCTGCTGGCCCTACTCCTCCTGCTCCTGCTGCTGTGGCTGGCATACCGTCCCCCTCCCCTCCCATAGATAGGCCAGCAGCAGCACTCTCTCCTCCCCCTTCCCGTCCTACTCCCCCTCCCCCTCCTCCATCTGCTCCGTCTCCAGTGCCTCGCCCCAGCCCATCCACCAGCCCAGTCACCTGACTCCACAGAGAGCTCCCCCCTGCTGCTGCTGCTGCCCCCTCTGCGCCTGCCCTCTCTTGCAGTGTCTGACCACCTTGGGACGGTGCGACGTGGGAGAGGGATGAGCGGGAGGGAGAGGAGGGGCGGCGCGACGGGGAAGACGGGCGGCGGGAGGGGGAACCAGTGGCACTGTGTCGCGAGGGTGAGGATGGGTGGTGTGCTGCAGCAGCAGCACCAGCAGCAGCAGAAGAGGTGGAGTGTCGCGCAGGAGAGGAGGCGGCACCAGCATGGGAAGAAGGCAGGACGCCTGCCTGCTCGCCGTCGTGAAAGAGACGCCTGGAGAGGCCACCACCCTCCTGCTGCTCTTGATTGCCGTTGTGCTGCTGCTGTTGGTGCTGGTGGTGGTGATGGTGGTGAGGATGGTGGGTGCTGGCATGGGATGGGTGCGTGTGGGGAGCTTGCTGTTGCTGGTGTTGGTGGTGATCCGTGTGTTGGTGCGAGTGTGCAGAGCCTGGCGTGCCTGGGAGGGAATTTGCCGCGCTGACAGCACCACTGGTTTCCGAAACCGACTGGAGTCAGACAGACAGACAGGGGACACGAGGGAGCAAGGGTTGGGAAGAGAGAAGGGGTCAGTGTAGGGAACGGAGTTTGAGGGGAAGGAGGGGTAGGAGAGACAGAAGCGAGAAGGCGAGAGTTTGATGCTGCAACACAAGAGGTGAACAAAGAAGGGAAGAGGTGGCATGAAGAGCAGCGCACCAAGCTGTGTGCTGAATTGCCCTGAACTGTAAATTCTACAGTCCAGCCAAGACTGAAATGATCTGCTCCAGCTGCAGCACTCACGGGGGAGAACTGCAAGGTATACGAATTGATCTGCTCGCCCCGCCAGCAC